TGGATGGATGATGGATGGATGATGGATGGATGATGGATGGATGATGGATAGATGGATGGATGATGGATGGATGGATGGATGGATGATGGATGATGGATGGATGTTTAGGATGGATTTCCATTCCTGGGCTGTGTTTCACATCAGGGCGATGGCTTTGGAGCCGGGGTTGCTCAGGTAAGGAGCGGACACCGTGTCCAGCTCCATGAAAGCTGAGTAGAGCGTGGTGAGCTGCAGCTCAGGCGCGCTCCCGTGCGCGCTCCCGTGCGCGCTCCCCGCCGCGCCGGCACCGCTCTCCGGCGGGCACTGAGAGGGAAAACACTGCGAGGGCACCGGGGAGGATGAAATGAGGATGAGGGGATCCACGGCGAGGCTGTCGTCTTTCAGCTCCTCCCAAAGATTCCCTGCAACAAAATAAAAACCAAAAAACCCGCGTGGATTAGCAGCTTTCTTTATGTTTTCTCTCCTTATGTTTCTTTATATTTGCTTTTTTTGATCATTGTGTTGCAGGAGATGTTGGTTCTTAAACATAATATGTTTAATATGCTATATGTTTAATATATGTTTAATATACTATAATACATATATTATTTATTTATTTTCTATTATATATTATATTTTATCTGTTATATCTATTATCTATTATATATTATATTTTATCTATTATATCTATGTATATTATATAATATATTTGATATAATATTATGTATTCTATATAATATATAATATACTATATACAATATACAATATACAATATACAATATACAATATATAATATATAATATATAATATATAATATATAATATATAATATATAATATATAATATATAATTTATTATTTATTATTTATTATCTATTATATAATTATATATTTATATATGTATACATGTATATATTTATATATTGTATTAATTATATATAATTTTTCTATATATAATATATGTATTTAATATATTATAATATACAATGTGTTTAATAATAGAATGTGATATAATATTATCTTAATCTCTTGGGACTGAGGAAAGGAAGAGTTTGCTTGGATCTGTCTGTCTCCATATATTTTAATCTGGGAGCAAACAGTGTTAATTTAAGAAAATTCTTTCTAAAATTCTGTTAGAAATGTGTATTTACAAAGAATATAAAAAGGCACCTCATAAAATATAATTGTTTGGGGTGTAGATCCTATTACTGCCTTGGGAAGAGGGAAAGATCATCCTTTTTAGCACAGATGTGGAATCAATGTTGATCAAGAAAAATGCTAACATGTTAATTTAATCAAATTTATTTATCTTGGTGCCTTTCACTCGACAATTCTCTTGTAAGAATGGCACTAAATAGTTGTGCTTGAGTAGCTTTTGGTTGAAAATAGGTCTGAATTTAAAGAACATATTCTAAATGCTGTGTTGCAGTATTTAGGTGGTGAGCAGAAATGCTTTTTTACATTCCTGGATGCAAATCTGTAGCTTCCTCGGGAAACTTTTAAAAGATTTAATGCACAATTGCATGGTGTGAATGTAAAAAATGGATTTTATGGAGATTGGGATGGGATGGGATTGATTGGATGGGATGGGATGGGATGGGATGATATAGGGATATAGGATGGTTTGGGATAGGATGGGATGGTTTGGGATAGGATGGGATGGGATTGATTGGATGACATGGGATGGTTTGGGATGGTTTGGGATAGGATGGGATGTAACAAACCTGGCTCTCAAAGATGAAAACACCTCAAACACCCACCTTGGAGGTCGAAATCGGTGAGGGATGGATTAAGAGCATCGATGTCATTGCTGAGGTCTCCCTCCTGCAGCAGCGTGTCCTGCACCGTCCTGGCCGGGGAGTGCTCGGGCAGCATCTTCATCCCGCAGCTCGGGGGGCTCTGAGCCGGCACTGGGGAATCCTGAGGGATGCTGGGCTGAGTCCGGAGCTGGCTTTGAGCCTCCCCAGCAGGGAACAGGCTCTGAGGGTCCGGCGTGTGCTGCATCAGCGCCGTGGGCATTTGGGGGAAGCCCTGGGGGGATGTGAAGCAGCCGGGCTGCTGCCCCCCCAGCAGAGCGGGGCTCTTGGCGTGCAGAGCTGCCGGGGTGTGGATGCCGTGAAATCCCTGCGGGATCCCGGAGGAGAGCGAGGGATCGCACAAGGAATGGGATTGCGCTGCCATCTGCCTGGAGAGGGACGCAGCTGCAGCGCCCGGGGGGCTGCAGGACAGCAGCGAGGATCGCAGCTTCTCGCTCTTGTCGCCTATCAGGGTGTCGAGTTCTTCTGGAAAACAAAGGGAAAGTCCACTGATTTACCCCTGGATAGCTTGCAGCACGAATTGTGGTGTTATTCAGGAAATGGCAAGCAGGAGTGCCAGTTCTTATATATTAAAAACTCCAAAGCCTGAAATGTTTTCTTTGAAATGATGGTTGCCGAATGAGTATGTAATAAAATCCACTTTTAGGTTTAAAGGTTGGACACTCAGCAGTTATTCTCAGATTTTATTTGATATTCATTATTTCAGCATTCTTTCTGTCACAGTGGTTGGGAATGGAAGGGGTGCTGAAGATCATCTCATTCCACCCCCCTGCCATGGACAGGGGCACCTCCCACTACACCAGGCTGTTCCAATCCCCATCCAACCTGGCCCTTTAAACTTTAGTGCCACGCCAAGAGAGAATATTTTCTTGGTGAAGCTTCTTTGTGCTTATCTGGAAGCAGCTACAAAGCCAGGTCTATTTAATTCTGCTTTTTAATTTTTTTTACTTGTTTTGCCAGCCAGGAAAAATCCTTAAACGCTTTCCTAAATCATGTTTAGATTCTCCTGTGGACCTTGGTGAAAGGAAAAGTTCTGAGGGGGAACTGTTTGAGAACTAAAACACCAAGAAGTGACTGACCTGGCTTTGCCATGCTCTTCCTCACGGCAACTGGGTCTTTCCTTTTCCATTTCTGAAGCTCCTCCTGCATCTTGTCAATCTTGGCTGGGTTCAGAGCCCACAAACAGCCTTTCCGAGAAGAATTCCCTGACTTGTTCTCAACTTTCTCAAAGCACTTGTTCAAAGATAAATTGTGGCGCACAGAATTCTTCCAGCCATCTGGAGCTGTCTGGAGAAACAAATTCAATGTAAGAACAGAACTTTGAGCTAAAAAAAAATAAAAAAAAAAATAAGTCTGTGTATATATATAACTCTGTTTTGACTGGTGAGGTTAAAAGAAATGCTGTTTAAGTTTGTGCCTTCTGCAGTGAGAAACTTATACGTTAGAGGGAAGCCACAAAAATGTTACAGTCATGTTGTGTGGGAAGAGAGGGATCAGATAAAATAGTAACTGATCTTCTAAGCAAAAAGGTTGTCAGAGACCTGCTGGATCTTTGAGAGTGAATTTGCACATCACAAGAACGATGTGTGTAAAAATTCGCGCTCTAAAACTAACAAGAAATCTATCAGGATCTATTTTGGAACACCTAGAAATATTTCCAACTCGTCATTACAGTACTATGTGCTGCCTGAGCTCAAATTCAGTGTCCAGGCAGACTTCAAAGGGATTTCTTGTGCTACTGTAGGTGGAACTTTGTGTGCTGGCCAATTACATAACCAAATGGTTTAATCACAACCAGATGTGATACAGCTTTCCACAGCTGATCACCCATCTCTGTGCTTTGCATTTATTTTAAACTCAGCAGTAGCAGCTGCAAGGTTCTTTATACTGGATCATTAAAATGATTCTTTTCTTGTTTGCCAAAAAATCCTCGTATTTTCTTTTTAATTCCCCATAAGAATTGCAAGAAATGAAAACAGCTCTCTGAATTGTGGGGATGTTGTCTGTGGCTATTGATTCATATTCATGGATGCAAATATTTGTCATCATAACTGTTTATATCAAGCAGAGAATTATTGAACAGAGAGCACGAGGAATAAATGTGGATTTCCACGGTCTTTTTAATGTTAAAAATTAGAATTTCCCTCTTAGGTTCATTAAGGTTTTTTTTCCACATTTTTCCTTATTAGTAATAGGATCCTTCTCTCATAGAAAGACAGATTTTTGATAGTTTGATAATTTCTTTAATTGTTACCTAGTCCATCAGGCTTCCTGTAAGACCATCTTTTATAAATGGATCTGAGTCCCTTTGAGCTGTCACAAGGCAGACTGTGAATTTTGAGCACACTTTGATGATATTATTTTATCAGGATTTAATTTTTTGTACACACTTTTATAAGGAACATAAAATCTGTTGTTTTGTAGCTTGTAGCTTGTAAATTGTGTGGATTAAGGCATTAAAAGCCTTATTGATGAATTGAGGGTGAAATGTAATACTTCCTTATTTAAAAAATAAATAAGTGTGGAATTAAATACATATTATTGACTAAAAGAGAAACTGTTTTCCCTTCAGAGCAGCAGAGTTTCTTCCATTTTGGCCCACCTGATGTCAGCATTTCACTGTTCTGTGTCATGGATGAGACAATACAAATTGTAATGAGAAGGGAGAAGAGAAGAGAAGAGAAGAGAAGAGAAGAGAAGAGAAGAGAAGAGAAGAGAAGAGAAGAGAAGAGAAGAGAAGAGAAGAGAAGAGAAGAGAAGAGAAGAGAAGAGAAGAGAAGAGAAGAGAAGAGAAGAGAAGAGAAGAGAAGAGAAGAGAAGAGAAGAGAAGAGAAGAGAAGAGAAGAGAAGAGAAGAGAAGAGAAGAGAAGAGAAGAGAAGAGAAGAGAAGAGAAGAGAAAAGAGAAACCTTTAAAACCTTTTCTTATTTTATACATAGCTTTATACATAGCTTTTTACAAAACCTTTTCTTATATTAAACATACCAAGTCAGTTTTTTCTCCCTTGCAGATAATATTCATGTGATTTCTGGTAGTTTCAAAAGTGAATAAAACTGTTTCTGGCAGGGAAGTTGTGTATTTAGCTACTGAACAAGCTGACCTGGAAGAATATTCCTGTTTCTTGCCCTGCACACAGGCTTCACACACCCCTGTGTGTACCTAGACAGGATAATTGGTGTTTCTGCTCAGATGGGAGTGGCACGGGCTTCTCAGAGGTTTTCAGAACATGTGGGGGTGTAAATTAGGAGATGATTTTAGAAACTGTACGATTTAAAAGCACATGGATTGATTTTGGAGGCTGCTGCCGGGAGCTGAGCAGGTTCTTGCATTAAACTTGGGATTGCTGAGCTGTGAGAATTCTTTTGCCCAGGTAGGGCTTAACACACTCAGCATGTTTAGTGAAAAACCACCAGTTTTTAGAGCAGATGTGATGGTTAAATGAACAAACTTTGGCTGCTGGGGTTGCTCTTTGAGTAGCTGGGCTCTCCTTGCTGTGGCTGATTTTGGCCATGGCTGTGCTCAGCAGGGTGGGGATGGAAATGGAGAATCCTAAAATCAGCTGGGGAATCCCAGAATCACTGAGGTGGGAAAAGCCCTCTTGAGGTCACCAAGGCCAACCATTAACACTGCCAAGGCCACCAGCAATTCCAGTCCCCAGGTGCCACATCTCCAGCCCCTGGACACTTGTATCACACCACAGACCTTTCTGCCCTCTCAGCCCACTGGCAATAACTCCAATTAAAAAGATGAAAGCTTTTTGTTACACACACTAATTGCTACCAAAAAAAAAAAAAAAAAAAGAGAAAATTATTGTCCAGCCCCACTGATCCTGACCAGCTCTTGAAGTTTAAAGAGTTCAGTGATCTTGCAAAACCCTTTCTCTTTAAATCTAGGTCTCAAGAGAAGGGAGAGGTACATCAAAGACTAATTCAACTTTAGCTGCGTAGATATTTTTTTTCCTTTTATTTTTTTTTTTTTTTTTTTAGGACGTAGGAGTTGGATTGCTCTGTTTCAAATAGAAATGAGATTGTTGCATCATAGAAACTAAATTTGCTGTGGCAGCAAATCCCAGTTAATTTGACTCGGCTTGTATCATCCCATGTCTCCCAGCAAGGCTCTGTGTGCACTTGCTCTCTTTTTCTCTCCAACCTAAATTGCTTCTCCTCTCCCTGTTGTTTCCTGCTTTTCAGTGAGTGCTGGCAGCAGCAAAATGTCCTTTGCTGGTTTTCATGTGATTTTATTTTACTGAAGACTCTCCAAAAGCAGGGAGGATGGAGGATGTTAATTTTTGCCATGTATTGGTAATTCTCTGCTGTAAAGACAGGGCAGACAGGGATTGGTGACTGTAAATGTAATATCTGATTGCTTATTCTCCCCTGCTTATTTTGAGGATGTTACAGTCAAATACATTTGGCTGCAATTGTAAGTAAAATGCAAAAATAAAGCTGCCACAAAATAGGGAATGTTTGGGTAGTTCCCTCTGCACTATTCTCTTCCTACAGCAGTAACTTCACTCTCATCAGTTTTTAAATGAATTTTAAAATAGATGTGAGGCTGTGAAGAAGCAGGAAGGAGCAGGATGGTGACAGCTGGCACAGCCACAGTCCTGAGTCTGAGGGATTCTGCCCATGCTGGCAGCAGCAGCATTTGGTTTAAAACTGCCAATTAATTTTACAATCAATTGTGTTGTAAGACAATAGAGAATTAATTTCAGTTTGATCTGATGGATAAACGCTCATGCCTGTAAAAATTATTAATAATATTCCCTCCTCTCTGCTTGAAACTCTTGCTATTTTCCTGTGCATTCCCCTGGGATTTCTAATGGGAGATTTCTTTATTTTTTCCTGCCTTCTCTTGCTTGTAACAAATGATGGAGTAGTTACTGATTCCTTTGGGAGGAAATCTGGGAGTGGAGGTGTGTGATGGATCCTGGCAGTTCTTTCTCTGTGATAATGTGTATTTTTCTCTGATTACTGGTATATTCAACCTTCTTATTTTTTTTGTGTGCACTCTATTTAACCTCAGTGTCCAAAATCAGTGCAAAACTGTATTGGAACATTTATTTTTCATTATTCTCAGTGTTCCTTTATTATAAATGTTTGAACTGCCTTGCTGTGGCTGTTTTAAATTTGCCTTGATTGCCACAGGGCTATTTGCAATAGGAAACAGGACGGACTCACTGGCTTTATTTTTATTTTTGGGCCTTGCTCACAGCTGAGGTCACCCACCGTGGGCTTCAGCCAGGTGCTTTTGAAGAATCAGCAGAAATAAAGCTCTGAGTGGAGCAGCACTTGATGATTCCATTACAGCTCTTTTAAAAAAAATCTTAACTAATCCTCCTTCTCTTGGATCCCTGTGCTGACCGAGCACTTTCCACTGGCATTCCAAGTGTGAGGAGCCATTCCCTCATAGCAGGAATCCAAATTTCAGTAGTGCTGCTGCAAACCACCCTTTCCCTCCCCAGCTCACCGTGTAATTATCAGCTTAGTGCCATTATCACTTTTCTTTGTACAGGGCATGCACGGGATGCTGTTGCCCAAGATGAACATCCCAGCTCCAGGATGGAGTGAGATCACCTGGAATCCTCTGCTTCCACACCAGTCCGGAGGTGCTGCTGGTGGCAGAGGAAGCTACAGGACCAGTTCTGCCTGTATTTGAGATCTGAGAGGAAGCAGTGAATGTGTTTTTAAAATTATTTCCCCTTTTCATGGTGAGGAATGGTCACTGTTACACACCCAAGCTCACAGCTGCAACAGTTCTTAATATCTTTTTTGAGTTAAATATCACCACATTACACATTTCTGTGTAATGTAATTTTCTAGGTGCAAAATGTTGGGTAGCTTGTGATCATAAAATTCTGTAGTGTGTAATTGATTTGGTATTAATCTCCTAAGAAATGATCCCTTTTTATAGCTGGAATCCCATCCCTTATTCTCTCTGCTGACAGACAAGCCTAGAGGGAAATTCCCCTCCCCATCCCTGTGGAACTCACCTTAAAGTAAGGGAAGTGTTCCGTCATGAAATTGTAAATCTCACTGACTGGCAAACTCCCTGTCTTGCTGTTTTTGAGAGCCATGAAGATCAGGATGCTTTAGGGAGAGAAAGAAAATAATTTTAGCCTCTTCTGACTCCTCACAACCAAAAATAGATCATTTTTTTCACACTGTGTGTGGTTACTCTGACTTTCACTGCCATAGCACAAATACAGAGATAATTTTATGTTTCCACTCAGTTGTTTACAACAATCTCCTTAACTCCTACAGGTAATTCTCCAAGCTCATCTAGAAGAGCCTGGGTTTAAAATAAAATAATATAGAAAGTAGAATCAAGAGCTCCAAATCCTGCTGCTGTGTCATTATTGAGGGTTTTCTTTGAATGCTTAAACTGGTGAAGGCCACAAAGAGAATCCAACTGACAGTGACAGAGCAATAATTAAAATTTAATTGTCAGATCTACTTTGGGGGCTAAACCCACGTGGTGGCTGCCATAGCTGACAGGTTTTCTAGGCATTTCCTTGTTCCAGTAACTGGGGAAAAAATCAGTTTTAATACAGGTGCTGGAGTAGACAAGTGAGTAGGACCAGTCTCGTGCTGATGAAATTTGCAACACCTAAAATTTTGCATTAGAGAAATGCCTAACTTTTATTTTTTTTTCCCCTGTAGAGAGTGATCAAGACTGTTCCCCTGCTTTTCAACACTCAATTTCTCTGTGCCTTGGCTGGCTCCAGAGTCTGGAACGTTTTGTGATCCGTAGGGACAGGACAGAACACCCCGGGAACGAGACAAATAAGAGCGAACGTGTTGCTGCAAAGGATGCTGGAAACAGGCCAGGGGCAAACAGGGTATTTCCTGTAAGGTGAGGGCTTGGAAAAATATTGTATTACCTGTAGGAGTAGATGGGTTTGGGAAACAGAGGCTGCTGGGATTCTTGGCTGCTTTGAGGAGCAATCCTTTGGTAGGGGTAGTGCGAGGAAGCGATGTAGGTCACGGGGTAGCTGCCTCCTGAGGGGTACTGGGGGCACAGCAGAAATGTTATTTGCTTTAGCAACCAGCTCTGAAAATATTCCCTTGTAACAGCATTATTTCTGAGGATTCTGCATGGGAAAAAGTATTTTTTTCTTTATTGCCTGCAATGCGAAAATTGTGAGGAGCTGTGGCCTATTAACTGTCCCCAGATAACTCCTAATTTTATAGACCTAAAGCTTATCTTTCTCTCCACCCATCTCTTCTGAGGTATTTCAGCCTCCCCTGAATGCACACAAATGATGAATGATGTCATTTTATTGTCATTAAAACCCCAAACTATAATATATAATATATAATATATAATATATAATATATAATATATAATATATAATATATAATATATAATATATAATATATAATATATAATATATAATATATAATATATATAATGTAGAATATATAATATAGAATCTATAATCTATAATCTATAATTTATAATCTATAATATATAATATATATAATGTAGAATATAGAATATAGAATCTATAATCTATAATATATAATTTATAATCTATAATCTATAATATATATAATATATATAATATATTATATATATTACATAATCTATAATCTATAATCTATAATCTATAATATATGATTTATAATATATAATATATAATATACAATAGAATATATCATATATCATATATCGTATATCATATATCATATATCACATATCACATATCACATATCACACATAGTTACATCAAATATATATCATATATCATATAAACAAATGAAGTATAAAATACTTCAATGTTCACCTTAGAAAAACCAGCTGAGGAAGTAGAGCTGCTAAAAATGTAGGAAGAAACAGGGAAGTTTTGCCTGAGCCTTATTTGGGGTTGTGTGGGGTTTTTTTTTTGTTACTTTTTTCTTTAGGTGGAGAGGATACAGAAAAGCAAAAATTGAAAGCATACAATATTTGCTCCTAAGGGAACAGCATCCCAAAATCTCTGTTAAATTTGCTGTTACCGTGCAAGGCAGGGAAAAAAACCAACAGCAAACAACAGAAACTTGAATAGATGCAGCAGAATATATTTAAGATTAATGTAATATTATGGAATATTATGTAAATAAAGTCAGTGATGTCATCCCAGGGGTCAGGAGAGCAGCATATGAGACATTTTGGAGCTGGTTTCACACTGCCTGTCTGGTGCTGAAGCTGTTGGGCTGCTCCCTGTCTGTTCCCTTGCAGTCAATTCCAAGGAAAATATTTCTCCACAGAGCCAGGAGCTGGTGTGCTGTTAAGCACCACCTCAAGTGACTTTCCCACTCCATTTGCTCTGTCAGAAAGCTGAAAAGAACAGCCAGGACCCCTAAAAACAGACAATATTTATGCCACACTTTTATTTATTTATTTAAATATTTATTGCCTTTCCCCTGGGACCAGCCACAGAAGGTCCCTGAGGAATGCTGAGCTATCTGTGCAGGAGATTTCCAAGCCAAGACACTCTAAAGTGATGGGATCACCAGGGTGAAAAACACCTGGAAAACCAGAGATGATCCACACAGACAGCCTGGATTGCACCAGAGTTTCCACAGATTTGTTCTCAACTTTTTAACACAGCACTTGGTCTTTCTCTTTTCCCCAATATTCCACATTTTTCTTCCTCAAATTACAGTTTAAACCTGCTGGAAAGAGACTTTCAAGAGCAAAGGAACACGATCCAGTTTAGGTAAGATAATATCAGCTGGCTCTCTGGGAGCTCTGTACCAGAAGGATTTCTGCCTCTTCCACGTGCCAGGGGTGAGGGCCTGGCCAAAATTAGAAGTCACATGCTATTAAAAAATCTACCTGGATGCCTTCCCTGGCACTCAAAGGTTGCTGAGCCCTGTCCTGGTGTTTTACTGCTCAGCTCCAGCAGTTCTGTGCCATGACATTTGTGTGGTTCCTCTGAAAAATTATAATGTAGCTCTCAAGACTCATTGGGAAAAATCCCCTGGACATCTCTTTAGTTTCTAATTGTAATTCCTTCATGGTTTTTTTTGATCAATAGCTTCGGCTGCTCTTGGTCTTTGTCCCCTTAAAACAGCAAAACATTCACAGTTTATTTATTTATTCTGTATTTTGAATGATTAATGTCATTTTCTCTGTAATTCTATGCTGGCTGCTGGAGTTTCTCTTGCCTGTTTGCTATTATCTTTCTAACACTGAGCTGCCTGAAATGGAATGTGGAAAGCCAAACTGAATAGACACAGTTGTTTGCATGGTGAAAGAAATGAAATGAACATAATTAATCATGTCCTGCCTTGTTAAACTAAATATTGGGCACAATTAGAGTCTCCAGAGGAGCTGTAAACTAATTTTTGTGTGCAGTGTGGTGCTCCCTGCCTTGTGCACTTGGTGCAGGTTTTTCCCCAAGAGTAGAAAACCGGGCAATTCCTATGATAATTCTGATTTTTATTGGTTTTGGTGGCTCTTTGAAAGGAAACAACACTAAATAAGGCTGGTTTTGATGTCATCATGAAAGAGCTGGGCGTTTTAGGGATTATTTCTGTTTTATTGGTTTCATTAGTCCTTTTTGAGGGAAGGGAGGCTGGGGAATGGGCTGGAATGACAGGCTGGAGCTGGTTTTACAGTCTCCATGGCATGAAAGGTGTTTTATGGTGGGTGGGTGAGTGACTCCAGCCAGTGTCTGCTGCTTCATTTGGGTCAATAATAACTCATTTTTCTTCTGAGTCACCACTCCTGTTGTGTCCAGCAAAGGGGAAGGTGAGGCTGTTTTATCATCTGGACAGAATTAATGAAGGGGTTGAATCCCTCTCATCCCTCTAAGAAAAGCTGAGGCTCAGTTTGAACATCCTTCACTCCAGGGCCCGTTCTCCAGAGAGGAACTTCCTTGGAGTGATTTAACTTGCACTGCCCCATTCCAGCTGGAAATGTAAAACATTAATAATGGGGCTGCTCCGTGCAGGAGAGGTTTTTCCACTTCTCCTCAGCTGCATCCCATGTTCTTTTCATTTTCCAGCATGTGATTATGGCACAGGGATAGCAATTCTACCTCTTTTACCTATTTTCTTTTTGTAAATTTTTAAATAAACAATTACTCCTGAGCAGTAGAACACGTTGCCAGACTTTTTCTATATTCACATTAAGAACAGGAATTAAAAAGCCTGACAGAAACCTGCTGCACTTCTTAAAGAGAAATCTGAAGAGCTTTGTCCCAGTGCCAGCCTGCAGGTGGATGGAGGATTTTCCTCTTGGTGCCTGTTGGATCTTGCCTGGCAGCTCCCAGGAGCTTTCAGTCTGGAGCATTTTGGGATGTGATCAGTACAGGAACAGCACTGGTACCAAATCAGCAGAGTGGATAAAGAAATGAAGAATATTCCATGAATTCACAAGCCAATTTCTGCATGCAGAAATGGCATTTTTACAGTGAGTGAGATACATGGAGCTGTGACATATCCACAATAGTTTATATTTATAAACTATTTATAATAGTTTATATTTGCTGCAGAGCTTTCTTTTTCTATTTCTTTTCTATTTTCTTCTAAAATAACAATAATGCATTTGTAAGTTAGGATGGTAGTGCAATGCCACTTTATATTTATATTTATATTTATATTTATATTTATATTTATATTTATATTTATATTTATATTTATATTATTTATATTTATATTTATAGTTATAGTTATAGTTATAGTTATAGTTATAATTATATTTATAGTTATATTTATAGTTATATCTATATTTATAGTTATATTTATTTTATTTTTATTTTTATATTTTATTTATATGTATATGTCTATGTATATGTATGTATATTTTATTTATATTTATATTTATATATATTATTTCATTTATATTTATATTTACATATTTATATTTATATTTATTTTTATATTCCTGTATTTATATTCCTGTATTTATATTTATATTTATATTCCTGTATTTATATATTTATATTTATATTTATATTCCTGTATTTATATATTTATATTTATATTTATATTTATATTTATATTTATATTTATATTTTTTTACATTTATTTTTACCTTTTATCACTTCTACTGAGTTTAAGGGTGAGAAGAAAACAACACAAGTAAATGAATTATGGCAGTGTTGATAAGAATTTAAAGATTGTTGTCTTTTTGCCACATGTCAGGGGAAAATAAGGCTCAGAAAATTCTGGCTGGTGGAAAATCAGTGTGATAAGTGAAATAAAAAGGCAGGAATGATGAGTGTTTCCATGACTCAGTAACACTACACAAATTAACAATGAAATGTCACCCAGGAACCCGGGTTTGGTTTTCTTTGCCCAGACTGAAATCCCTGCTGTGTCAGTCATTGTTTTATACTCCATGAGACAGTGAATGCCACAAAATCTGTCATCAGATCCCATCAGCATCAAAGGAGACAGAGCTCAGGTGTGAGCTTTTATCTTCACATGGTTTGGAGTTTCCTTGAAGTTTCACTTAGTTCTAATGGTTGGGGTGTTTTGTATGTGGGTTTCTACCTAAAAATCTGAAAAATCCTCCTTGCCTTAATTTCACCTCAAGTTTTTTTCCTTTACTTGCTTGAAATCAGCATTTTTTTTATCCTAAAGATCTCACTGAAAATATTATACCTTGCAGGTAATTGAGCCTAAAAGAGGAAAATTTCAAAGCATTGAGCAGCTCCACCCTTTACATCTGAAGGACATTATTTTAAGTGTCAATAACAAAATTGCATTACAGAAGAACAACCCTAATCTTGCACCTTCTCCTGCATCATCAGCATCATTCTCAATTATGCTTCAGCTGAATAATCCTTCTCTGGGGATGTTGTAAGAGGCAAAAAGTTTCAAAAGAGATGTGTGTGCCATCAAGCACAAGGAAAGTGAACATTATTTTGCTGTTCCAATTTTACTTTAAAATATTTTTCTGTGTTTGGTCTGAATTTTAACGGTCACATCTTCTTAGGGTTTTTTTTTTCTTCTGAAGTTAAAGCACAGTTAATTAAGATCCTGAAATATCAAGAGTTATGTTAATAATTTATCTGGCTTCAAAGCAAATTTTCTCAAGTGTAATGGTGAATATATAAATATGCAGTAACAAAATTCCATTTCCACAAGTTTTGTTGTTTTTTTTTTTATTTCTTTTCCTTAATGACCATCCTAAAGTGCATTTAGCTGTGCCTCTTTTTCAGCCTTATTCTCATAATGTGGGCATATAAACACGGCCCTGCAAACCCACACATTTTTAAATCCTTTAAAAAAATTATTGTTAGCACAATTATTGCACCATCTGAGTGCTAAAAATCCATTTTTTAGGATTTTGGTGTACTGACCTGATGGAAAGGGTGTGAGGGGCAATACATCTGCTGCACCTGGGGCTGGTAGCAGTACAAACCAGGCTGCCCTTCCAGGGGCGATGTCCTGAGCTTCATGTCTGAATCCTGCTGGAAAATATTCAAGGGAGGAGTTCTTAGAGAAAACAGCTTAATTGAAAAGAGGATAATTCTGTTAGTCACTGTCCAGATTTGCCTTCTTTATACTGATTTTTTGGGGTTTAAGTATATCTTAGTAGGAGTTCACAGAGGTTGGGCTCTGTTTTAGTGGTGCAGATCTGGGGATGATCCATCCCTGGAAGTGTCCAAGGCCAGGCTGGAAGGGGCTTGGAGCACCCTGGGAGAGTGGAAGTTGTCCCTGCCCTTGGCAGAGGGTGAGACTGGATAATCCTCAAGGTCCCTCCCCACCCAAACTCCATAATTCCATGCAGACACAAACCAATTCCTGCATTTCCACGGCTACAATTTTAAAAAAGGAAATCCCAGGCCACATTCCATGCAAAGAGCGATTCGGAAAACGCCAGGCTCCCTTTATATTTTCATTTTTTCTCTCCCTTCACACACAAACCACACACTCCAGCTTTCATTCCTGAGTGTGCACAAGTGTCTCCCTCTTTTTTTTTCCTTCTCCCTGATTTTGTCTTGCAGGCTGGCAGTGCCTCCAGCTGCCTCTGGAATTCTGGCATTAGATGGAGGGTGAGCTCTTTAATCTACAGGAAAGAGGTGGCAGAGAAAAATCACCCTGGGCTGACTACAGGGTTCAACCCTGTCAGGAATATGTAAAAATGGAGGATTTCAGTGAGAATCTTGTTTTTTCAAGAATCCTTCTGCTTTAAAGCACAGCCAGCTTTTGTGGCATTTTACTCTGTCTAAAAAATATTAATAAATAAACAAACATGCACATTATTTCTTAGATGTATTTTTATATATCATGCATGTAGTGTACCTAAACATAAAAACATTCGTGATTTTTATGGTATATTACTAGAAGCACAAATTAGACTTGGTTTGATTAATAAACATCAGTGTTATTTTGGTGGCCACCAGATGAAGGTTTTCAGAAATCCCGATTTTCCAGCAGCATGGAAGTGATTTAAGAGTGGGAAGTTGGGTGCTGGCAGAACCAGACACCAACAGGGAGTAGCTACAAGGGCTTGTAAAGGGCTCCTGCAGTGCTGCCTTTGCATCCTGCACATCCTGCAGCCCAGGGATTCGGGAAGACAATGGGAATTTATTTTGCTCATAGGTTTTGTGCTGAACTCCTCTGACCTAGATGAGTGTTTATCCAGGAAATAAGAGATTTAGATCAATTTCCTCCTTAACCTGGATGGCTTCAATCCCCAGGTATGTTCCCTGACAACATCTCTCCATTCCCTGGTCTTAATCCAACTAAGACTATTTTTTTAAACTCCTATTTCATTCAGTAGCCATGAGTTCTTCCTCTCCCAGCCTTTTAGAGCCAGCTCAGGGCCCTCCTCTGGCAGGTGGAGTTGTTCTTTTTGGCTGCAGCAAGATAATCTTTACACCTTGGATCACAGCAGAGATATTGTGGAGATACTGCAGGGTAATTTAATTTGCCTTTCAGGGATCTCTGCTGCCCTAAATAGGCAGTTGCCTCTATCTAGTATTGAAATCAGCCCAGGTAACTTGACACTGCACAAATAAACAGAACTGATATTTATTTTTATTTATTTTTGGTGGCACTGATGTCTTAGAGTTTCTCTTCTGTTTGTACTGAGTAAAGTGCAGCTGAGCTGAGGTGTTGCACCAAATCTGCTCCACATCCTCATGCTTGAAAATTCTATTTTGTGACCTTTTTTCTCTTGAAAACACCAGCTGATGACAAATCTTTTTGCCAGGGGAGCATTCAGATATTCAGGATTCGTGTGCCCCATCTAATGGAAAATCATTTGTCCTTGTGCATCTTTCTGGGGGTTGTTTGAGGAAAAGACCAGAAAATAGAGAACTTGGACAAATAAACATGGGTAAATCTAAATTGGACAAATAAACATGGGTAAGTCTAAATTGGACAAATAAACATGGATATGTCTAAATCCACTTTCCCTGAGCTCTAGCCTAGCTTGACAGAACGAGAAATACCAATGTAGTCCCACAATAATAAGAAAATGCTTCCAAAAGCACATTTTAACCACTGAAAACAGGGAAAACAATTACAGAAAACCACTGACCATGACCTGAGAGCCGTGCTCCTGGCCCGTGCTGCTGAACTGGAGGCTGTTACACCACGGCTGCTCCGCGGAGATATTTGGGATATGGGTGGGAAACACCTCCGGCTCCTCGGGAGCCGCGGATCCCGGCAGAGCCTCGAAGCCATCGATGCTCCTGTGAGTTTTGAAGGGAGAAGCTTCTGGTGGCAGGGCCTGGTGTGATTCCTGGAAAACATCCTCGCTGATCTGCCTCTTGTAAGGGTGGAAGGGGTTCCTGCTGCTCTTGAGGAACCGCTCGTAGTTCCCGGCGGCGTTCTCCTCGTAGCTGAACCGCCGGAATTTCTCCGTGCTGAAGGATGCCTTGAATTTGTTCTTGCCACAGGGGATTCCTTGGCTCACAGGGAACCTCCCGTGGATTTGATCCTGGGATGGGGAAGCAGGGCTGGGGCTGGGAGAGGATTCTGAGCTCTTCCTTTCTGTCCTGGTGTCTGGCTCATAGGGTTGGCAGCTGTAACTGGGGTTATCCTGGGATGGGATATTGGCATTAAGGTTAGTATTTAAGTTTGAGCAAGTATTTTATTATTATTTTTGTTATCTGAGCTATTAATTTATCTAAACTTTAAAATTTATATATTTTAATTGCATTAAAAATGCATTTTTAACGGTAAGCATTGTGTGGTTGTTTGGCATTTAAGAAAAAGTGAAATGACCACCTTCATTCAGAGAAGCCTCAAAAAGATCTCAAGGGGTTTTCTGGTTGCTTAGTATCCAAAACCATTCAGCAATTAATAAACAAAAGCAAAAAAAAAAAAATATTATAATAAATATATATTTAATATAGATAACATTATTATATATTATATATAATATATAACATTATTATATATTATATGTTATATGTTATATATTATATGTTATAAGTAATATGTTATATGTTATATTTATATAATATATATTGTAGATTGTAGATTGTAGATTATATATTATATAATATATATTCTATATACTATATCGTATTATATATTATGTAATAAAAAAAAGCAAAAAGGGCTTTGAGCAGCCTGGTGTAGTCAGTGGCACACAACTGGATGAACTTTAAGGTCCCTTCCAGCCCCAACCACTCTGTGATTCCACCAGAAAACTGAACGACCTTAGAAAAACACCTTGTGTCTCTGGTCTGACCATTCCAGGGAAAAGCTGAGGAAGATCAGTGATGAAGGATTAAATGACAGGAATGTGATATGTGCAAGTCTTGTTTAGTCAAATAAGCTTGATCTCATCCCCTGATGGTGTTTCAGGCTCCAGATTTGCTGGTGGTTACATCATTTCCCTTCACTGAGGTGGCCACACTCATTTGGAGACACAAGACAGGCTCTGGACAGACACTTCAACATCCCTGTCTCATCTCCTCCCCTCCCTCCTGCCCTTCAGCAAGGACAGAACACCAAAGTGCTCTTTAATGTGGAGGAGAAGGGCTGAGGCAGGGCTGGAGTCTGGATCCTGGCACTGTAAATATGCATATTTCCCCTGACATCAGGGATGAGGAATTGCTGGATGCCTTTGAGAAGACAGCCAGCAGTCAGGAGCAGGGTGCTGCGTCCAGGGATGGGGGAAATGGAATGTCCCACCTTCCATAAAAAGGCAGATTATTGAGTGGTCACTCCCCTCCTTCTCTCTCCAAAGCTGGATTTTGAGAAATCCCACAAGGGAAATCAGGATAAATCCAGAGCTTTCTGCAGTGGAACACAGCACAGCTTTTCCAGTCATTTCAAGGAATGGAACAGAACATTTAACTGGAATTTCAGATTAGCTGAGCAGGATAACTCAGGATTCAACCCTTCAGGAATAAAACTTTCAGCATTTGCTTTGTCACCAGCAGATTTGGTGGGATTTAGTCCAGAGCTGAATGTTGATTGTGATCTTTGAAGAAAGAGAAGAGATCTGGGCCAGTTTTACTCACACTTTGCTGAACTGGGGATATTGGATCCCCCTGTGCCCTCATGAGGTCCTGCTGGTCCCTTTCCAGAGTGTCCGAAGGAGAAAATTTAATATTGGATTGGTCCTGGAGTAGGGAAACCATCACCAAACCCAGGTCTGACAGGAATCCTGTGAAGGCAAAGATCAAATCACAAAAAGCACTTTTTTAAAGCTTGAACTGTGAAACAAAGCCCTTGCTGGGTGCAGGTGCTGGACAGGCTTGGAGCTACCCTGAGGAATTCCTGATTCCATCCTGATGATGGAATTATTTTTTAACTCTTGAAGAAATGTTCTGTAGATGCAATTCCAATGAAGACGGGGTTTCTATGGATTTGCCACACATTTTTTTATCAAAATAAGCACTTTCTTTGTTTTCTGTAGGAACATACATTAATGAAAATGTATTGTTTTGGGGTTATGCAAATTTAGCAATGTCACTTTATTAAGAGATTGGGATATAAATGCACTCCAGTTGTTTTCAGAGGGACTATATTAAAAAAAAAGATATTTTTCATTACTCAGGCTGATGGTTACAACACACTTATATTTTCACTTTTATTTTTCATTAGTCCCAATCCCTTCAGCCTTTCTGTTCTGTTTTGCATGGCTTAAATGTATCTGAGATATGTAAATAACTCAATCATTCCATCCCTGTTTTTGTTAGTTGGATCTCCTCTCAAGTTCCCAATCTTTGATCTTTGGATATAGGAGCCATATCTGATGGTGTTCTTTGGATTAAAAGGAATAAATTTCATCTTCTGGTGTTTTGTTTTCTACCATGATTTTTTTTTTTCCTTGTTCACTGTAACCTTAGAGTAAAACAAAAGGAGAACTTGCATCCTTTTATGTCATGCACTAAGTTTGCAGCTACATAAAAGTGTTCCTGTTCATAATTTTGATTTCAGGTGAACAAATCAGGGAAAAAAAGCCACTTTAATTCCAGAGTTCATCTGCCAGGTCTTTGCCACGTGTTGAAATAGCTGTTAGGTAAATATCTAAAGGGTTTCTTAGGTTTGCTTAACAAAGATATATCACCTTAAAATGTGGAAACCTTTTTTTTTTTCTCCCCTTTACAGTTCAAAGAGAAATCTGTATTTATGATGAGTAAGACTGCACTGCCCGGGGGGATGGAGCACAATGGGGCTTGGAAAGCAAGCAGGAGACCTGGAGTAGTACATCAGGAAAAAAAAATATTATATGATGTGAGATAAAGTTCAGAAATGTCTCAGGCACAGGCTCTTCCCCCAGTGGCTTTACTGGAGGCTGATGAGGAGAGAGATTCCTCATCTTGAAAGGAGCAGGTGGGAAAGCTGACAGCTGGGAAAGGTCTGTGAGTGTCTATTTGTAATCTGTAAGTGTTCCACACTGTCTGCCCTGCCAGTGCTGCTTCCACACTTATCTTCAGCTTATACAAAGCTGGCTCTGACCTCTCTTTTATGCTGCAATTTTTCAGCCCAGCTGCCTCATTTGTGGTCTGGAGCTTTTATTAAAAGCTTTTTGCACAGGTACAGTTCTTGCCTGGTGGCTTCTGCATTGCGAGGGGATTGTCACCAATCCTTTCTGAGAGCAAAGTGAGTTTATCAGGGTTGTTTGGACAATCAGTACAAAAGGTCCAGGAAAACCAAATCATTTGTGTCCCTCCCCTCTGAGACCTCTGCCAAGTTCTGTTGATGAATTGCATTTTCATAGCAAAGGAGGAGTCTGAGTCACGTTTTAGACCATAAAAATTTCCCCCTGTGCAGGGAAATTGTTTTCTTTTTATTGAAGGAGAAGCAGCCACAGGGAAAGGATTTTCCTTTTTTTACTGTTAAATGAGAAGCAGCCTTAAATAATGTTGGGCTGATAATCTGTGTTCAGTGGTGGTTATTGAATGCCTTTGTCAAGAATCCATTTTGGTGGATCTTCCATATGGGGATAAATCCCAAGGCTGCAATCCCAGCGCTGTTTGCAGTTTTCAAACTGGCACCAGCAGCTCAGTAAGAACTGCAGCTCCAGGCTCTCCTCATCCTGGAAATGGCACGTTGAAGTTGTGTCTTGCTGTGAGAGGAAAAACCTCTGGCCATATACTCCTGATTTTCATTTTATTCCTTGAGTCCAAACTTGTCTCTTCAAAAGCCATTTGCAATTTCACCCTCTCTGATGTGTTTCACAGCAGGTTGCAAATGCAGATCAGTTTAAACTGCCAAATCAACACACTGAAAAATCTTTGCTGTCACTGTCCAGGAAATGTTTTTTAATGTGCTTTAGAGACACTTAATTTTGTTGCAAGGACATAAAACAAACAAACAAAACCCACAAAAAAACAACAACAAAAACCCCCAAACGGAAACAAAAACCGACTCAAAACCACTTTGCACTGCTAACGTAGATTTTAGCAAAGAGAAATCACATCACTCACTGACAAATCTTCTTTAGGAGCAGAAATTACCGCCAGGGGAGGTTGCCAATAATCAGGATTACTATAAATCATTTGCAACAAACTGTTCCTGGGAGCCAGAGCTTAAGGAAGTTGTGGGTTGCCTGGATGTAGGATGTGCTAAAGCAAACAATGATGCTTTGATTTGGAAAGAGGTATCTGATTATCCCAGATGCAGCTGGAACCATTTCACGTCCTTTTGGCTGCTGTAAATGTTGCGTGACCGTGCGAGGCTCCTGTGATAAGATAACTACCTCTGAAATGAGAAAAGTGAGAAACTGTAACCTCAGCTGGGTGTTGGGGTAAGCGAGGCAGCAGCAGCTGATTTATTAGCTCTGCATGACTGAGCCCTGTGGCAGAAATCCAGGGCTGGAACAATCCCTGGGTTTGTGTCTCCCCTGCCTCAGAACTCTCTCCTTGCTGCTGTGAGTGCCCTCTCCAGCCCCTGGGGCTGAGATTTCCACAAGAGGTGTTTGGATGTTCCCCAGTTCCTGATCCATCCCCTGTGCCTGCTTTGGGCAGCTCCCTGAGCTTTGTGTGACCCGCTCACATCTCTGCCCAAAACCCTGACATCACCATTTTCCTCTCCACATCACACTGATGCTTCCTAAATAACTTTTTCTTCCCCCTCAAGTCTTTATGAAACAAAACCATGAGGTTCCAGAATTCCATTTTTCCCTTCACGGTTAAAAATCCATCACGTGTCAGTCAATGATGTCGTGTGCCAAATATCATAGAAGTGTCCAGAATGCTGTGGCTAACACTTCTCATGGAGACAGGAATATTTCTGCACATAATTAATTATGGAAAATGTTCAGAAAAGGGATCTGTTGATAAGAATCAGGATTTTTTTTTTTTAAAAAAAGGCTTTTAATGAATTCAAGACTTTTCTGAGGTTATTCCTGCCAGGCTGACATTGGAGGTTGTGCTGGCTCATCAAAGCTGTCATTGCTTTGTTGATCCCTGACATTCCTGTCACTAAGGCTTGCCCTGTTTTCAGGAGACATTTTCAGGAACAGGATTGGAACCT